TCTCTCTCTCTCTCTCTCTCTCTCTCTCTCTCTCTCTCTCTCTCTCTCTCTCTCTCTCTCTCTCTCTCTCTCTCTCTCTCTCTCTCTCTCGCGAAACTCGTTGCCAGAAGGGACGACGATCATTCTCACTTTCGAAAGTGAGCATGTAGAGTAGGTACACGCGCGTGGCTCTGTGTGCGTGCCACGATGTCAGTGGCCTCCACGGTGGAAAAGAGGCGAGTCGTTAATTAGCATTCGAGGCGAGCTCGCCTTCGCGTCTGCCCCACGCGTCGTCACCGCCGTCGTCTCGACGGTGACCGTGTGCACCTATGACAAATCGAGAAGAGGTTTCATTCACGATGATTTATCTGTGAATCCACGAGAAAATTAATCTTGGAATATTTCGTTTTATTTTTCGATTGGATGAACATATTTGGATTAAAGATGGAATTGAAAGATAAAAATATTTTCAAAATGCACTGGATATATTGATAAATTTGCATTAAAAAATTGCAATCGAAATGCTATTTCGAAAGTCTTTTGATTAATATTAATTATTGAATCTCTCAATTGTGAACTGAAATAATAATATTTTAATTATTAATTTAAATCCTTTTACCTCAATTTTGAAATACTATCTGTTTATTACTAATTTAAATTTTTTAAAATATTCCATGATACTAATTTAATCTTACTCTTTGAATCTTTCAATTACATAAATATTTGTGTAAAAATGGAATTGAGATAAAATCCGTCGAAACATTATTTTCTCTTATTATGTCGTAATTTCCTCTCGCACTGGATCTTTCAATTCATTCATCGTGACCTGAAATATCATAACATCCATCTTATTACTAAATCTTTTAAACTTTCATAGAGTTATAAAACTCTAATTATTAATAATCCATAATATTAAACTTATTCATTCAACTCTATCTCTTAGATGAAAATCTCTACACAAATATACATTATAATATATACTATTTTATCTCTATCTTCAGAGTATATTTCACTTACACAATCTTTTTATTTGGACAGCCCTCTGCAACGACGACGCGAATGGGAACGTTCCCCTGGGCAAATCGTGCAATCGTTACTGGCAATGTCAAGGTGGATACCCGCGATTGCAGAGATGCCCCGCGATGCTGGTGTTCGATCGAAGGTCGCTGAGGTGCGTCGTCCCGCCCACCGAAGACTGTGACGTACCCACGACCCCACCCAACCTCGAGGGCGATCTGCCCGATGGAAGGAACGAGCAGGAAGCGGAGGAAGAGAATCTTCCGCCCGGTGTTCCGCCATTGCCGGCCGGCGCATTGCCCATACCGCTTCGAGCTCGCCCCAGAAATTAGACGATCCGACATTTTTCTTTTTTTTTTTTTTTTTCCTTTTTTTCTCGATCAATCGTACGCTTTTCGACCGGTGATATCTTTTTCGTTTCGTGACGAGAAACGCGATTTTTATTTTGGCAATCTTTCTCTTTCTTTTTGAAAGTAGAAGGAGTCTCTAGTGAGAATCTTGAAAATCTTGATAAAGAAAATCGGATAGAAAGAAGTTGCTCGGCGAGAAGCGTTCTTTTTTTTTTTTTTTTTTTTTTTGGAAATTCCAAAGTTTCGAGTAATTTATGCGAATTAGGAATTGGAGTAAGGAGAATTTTTTTAATGCCGATATTTGATCATCGTGAAAAAGGGGGGGAGGATAAAAAGTTGAATTCAGTATATCTACATGTATATTCAAAGCTTCGTTATTAGAGCATGTTAACTTTTTAATTTAGAAGCGTTAGCGATCTTTCTTCTTCAATCTCTCTTGTTTTATCCGTTTCGTTGTCGATTCTACGCGCACGAATGTACGTATGTTTAAGTTAAAAAAAAAGAAAAAAAAAAAAAAAGGATAAATAGGTAAATCACGTATGGAAATCACGTTTATATTCTTTTATTATTGTTATTATTAAGTAACTCTCTCTCTCTCTCTCTCTCTCTCTCTCTCTCACCACCACCCCCGAAATGTAAATAATTCTCTCTCTTAGCCATTCTCACTCTATTATCTCGCCTTAATTATAAGTAATATCAAAACGTTCACACTTGTACGAATGTAGACTCGTTGAAATAAAGTGTACGTTGTATATTTTTTTGTACACGCGTCCACGTTTTTATTCGAATACTCGTTGTACACATCGTTGTTCTTGTAGCAACTTTTTCCTTTTCACTTAGAATATACGAATAAATTTTTGCGAATAAATTATTATAGAAAAATGAATTTTCCATAATTACAAGAAGAATAATCGTTTCAATAATTGGACGGTTGGATTACGACAATAGATGATCAAATTTAAAGCAAACGATGGAAAGGAAACGATGATGTATCCGGTTTCCTTTTTAAATTGATAAAAAATTAAATTATTCTTAATTATTTTTAACATTGACGATGATTCCAGAAAACTTGCAGAATTCGGCGACCAATGTAATTTAAAGATTGTTATTGGCACTGAAACAGAGAGAAGAAGATAATTCTTGTACAATTCTACTTCTTCGTTTTTCTTAAAATAAAAAAAAAATAAAAGGGGGGGCGTTACCAGTGGGGCAATTCATCAGGATCCAGACAGCTCAGGCTCACGGAATCGAAGAGTTTTCCATCACCGCAGGTAAGTAAACGTGGATGGCCATCAACGCAGGTGATCAATCTTCCACAATCTCCGGGTACGGGGAATCTAAAAAAAATTAAATTAAATATTTTTATACAAATACTGAATGCTAAATTTATATTAAATTATCCAAATATATATTCTTTGTAAAACACTTATAATTTTAAAATATCATATTTAAAATTAAAATTGAACATTACATTGAGTAAAAAAAGATGTATTATTTACTTATCGTCCTTTTTGAAAGTTACGTCGCATGTACATTTTATCGCGATTGTAATACAAGCAGAGAAAGAAACGACGAAACTGTATAATCGTAAAACACGTGTCATCTCTCAGCGGGTGTTCTTCGATTCATCCCTTCGAGGAGGCGGGGGTAGACCGGTTTTTAATTTACCCACCGGATGTATAACCAGTGGTCATACAATATTTAAGAACTTGAAACTGAAACTTCTTTTACTTTTTAGAAATGACGCGCAAGTAATTCCCTTTAATCGGTATATCTCTTTCAGGTAACATCGAATAAGAAAAAGATTTCGAAACATTTTCGAAGACGTGCAATTAAAAATGAAATAAAAACACGTACTGAAATATTTCTCTTTGAAAAAATTGGAATAATAGACGAACAGATTTAATTTACAATTAAAATCGCAAGAATAGAAAATTTTATTTAATTTTAGAAAATTTTTACTAATCATTCGTATTTTTATAGTCAGTGATGAGCAAAATTTAATAATTGAAGTTACGAATAAAATTGGATAGATTAATTCAATAATTTATATTATTGTTCAAAACGGAATAATAATCGCAAATAATTATAATCAAATGGCTTGAGATTATATGAAAAGAGAATCGATTGTAATAGCAAGTAAGTAAATGTTATTAAGCATTTTAATAAGTAATTACTTAAAATAATTTTATTCGAAATTCTTAACTAGTCACTTTTTCAACAGATTAATGTCTAACTCTGACTATAGTTGACCTTTTCTTCAATGCTTTGAATAATAAATTATTCAAGTAACTTATTCAAGTAATATAATCGTTTCGAATAAATTTTAAGTAATTACTTATGAAAATATTTATGAATAACTGAAGTAGCTATTACAGTTTAATTCTTTGCATAATTTTGTCCGTTTTTCATTACTTAGTTTTGTACAACTTCGTTTAACTTCAATCGTTAAAATCTTGCCCATCTCTGTTATATAAACTCGTCAACTTTTTTAAGCTTCGTCATGTTTGAAATATGATTGCCATTTGATTCATTTCGAGAGAAACAGATACATCGTTCTTGCTTAACCTAACCTAACTTAACCTAATCCACCCATTGTTCTTATTCATCGAACATCGCCCACGCCTATCCGTTATAATCGAATATGAATTTAGGAATGGTTTACGAATAATTCTCCGTTCCATTGTTTGAAAAAGGATTTACCTTGGGTAGGGCCAGAACTTGGCGGCAGCGCTGTGGGAAGGCACTTTATGAGGACACTTGAAACCGACTATTTCCTCCGGATTGCAGTAGGGCAACAGTTGATCGGGCCAGACGCAATTGTGACTCTTCGCGTCGTAAACCAATCCTGCGTCGCAATGATCCTCGTTGGGATGGCCATGGGCGCATCTGATATAGGTGGTGCTGCAGGCATCGCTCGCAGGGTAAAGACCGAATTGATATTCGCATCCAGGACTGCTGATCGGTGTCACTGAAAAATAATGTAATTTGTTTTTTTTTTTTTCTTATTACGAATTCATTCTCATTCAAAGCGAGACGAATCGATATGTCTTCAATTCGATATGGATGTTTTAGCTAGGAAAAAATAGTGATGACAGGTGTGTATGATTTTTATCGATTGAGAGGAAAGTTTTATATAAATTTCTAAAGTGAAGATAAATAAAATATCGTCTATTTATTTTGAAAAAAATATATATATAATTATTTAAAGAAAATTAAAACACAATATATATATATATATTATATCATAAATTACAATACAAATAAGAAAATATATCATGCATTTATTGCAAAGAAAAATTGAAACGTAATATCAAACATATATGCGACACGTGATAGGGAAACAATCAGTTGATAATTTCTTGTTCACGTATTTGATTAAAAACAAGTTTGTTAAATAATAATTGTCGAGTGAAAATAAAATTCTTGAAAGTAAAAGTGATCGTTGATTATATTTTAAAAAAACAAATCGTTTTACCAAACAGGTATACACAAAAAAGTATGTCGCAATAACGTTGCTGAACGCAATTTACTTGACGGCAAGTCTTTATAACGAATGGCATTGACGCGACCCAGTAAAACGCCATAAACATTATAAAATTTCTTCCTCCATACGACTTTTGCTCTTTTACTGTACAAATTTTTTATATCTCTCTATATTTCCTCTCAAATAGTGATGGGCAAAATTTAATAGTTGAAATTACGAATAAAGTTATTTCGATAAGTTAAATAGTTTCAATAATTTATTGTTCAAAACATAATGATAATTGCAAATAATTGTAATCGCCTTGAGAATATATAAAAGGCGAGATTATATGAAAAGCGGATCGACTATAATAGCTATGAGTAAACGTTATTCAAGCATTTTAATAAATAATTACTCAAAGTAACTTTATTCGAAATTTTTAGTTTATTTTTTGAATAGGTTAATGCCCTTCTTCTCAAACGATAAAATTGTTATCGTATATAATGTTTTTTTTTTTGGTCGTTTATCGCGAGAAATAATCGAATAATGCATCGAATAATTCGAATAAAAATCAATTTTGCAAAATTCTATATCGAAAAGTTTTTTAAAAATTTATCTTAGAATAATGCCAATATAATTATTAACATTATAATATATCTTCCAAATAATTTTTTTATTTACCACCAAATATAATTTAAAATTAATTAATTTTTTTTATCTTCTTCTAAACAATTTTCAAAATAATATTATTTTACAAAACTCAAAGCTATTGATTATATAAAATGTCTAAAATACAAAATTAGCTGGAAATATTTCTGGAGTAATTTCAACCAACATTCTCCTTTGCAAGAAAATTCATTAGGGCGTTATTAACGAGGTTTTAACAAAAAAACGCAGTTCAATCACGAAACGCGTAGTCTAGTCGAGCCGCGACGGTAGTGTTGGATATATACCGTCGACGAGCATGAACAAATCCAAATAATATATGTTGAAAAAAGTGTTTGAATATAATATTTTTTTATATATAAATATTTTTTTATCGATAAAAAATTATTTTTCATTATCATATCATGAACAATGAATAAATTATGATACTCAATATATGTTGCTTAGACTTGTTCGTGCTCAGTCGACGGTACGTATCCAACGCTACCGCTCGACTAGGTTACGCATTCCGTGATTGGCCAATTGTTTTTTGTCGTTATAACTTTTTTGTCGTTTAACAAAATTATTTCAAGAATTTCCAATTAATCTAGATTTAATATTTTTATTTTTGGGACATCCTGTATATTTCAAAGCGTCGATAGATCGAGTTGGAAAGACAAAACCTTCACGCTCTTATATACGCATATAGCATTGTGACATTGCAATTATCGAGAGCGTAACAAGATACTTACGGTCAGCCTTGCGATCCCCGCAATGGACGGCCCAGTGATAGTTGCAGTGATCGTGCACGGCGCCATGCCCGTCGAAAAGTAATCCGTTCTCGCAGTACTCGAGGGTCAGGGTGCCGTTCGTGCAGAGGAAAAAGGCGTTGCAATTCTCTGGGTGGGCATACGCGAAAACTCCGTGAGGGTCGGGGCACGGTGGCGCCCCCAAAAGGGTAGTCGCCTCGACTATATGTCGAAAAAATGGGAAAAAATGGTATAACATAAATCGTGTATATATTATAGAATTAAAAATATGTGTAATGAAAATTAAAAATAAAAAATATATATAGGTAAAAATTAAGTATGGAAATTATTTAAAAACCAGGTTAAATTTATATTCTAAGAATTTGAAAAAAAAATAGTTTGAATATTAAAATATTGATATGCGTTACCTTGAGAGAATGGTAGAAGGAGCATGAGATTATATTCTTAACGAGCAAAAAGATAGAGAAAGCGAGTCAAGGTTGCAGACATTGAATGAAAACGAAAAAAAAAAATGTGAAGATTTCGATTTGATAGCAAAAAAAGATGCAACGTCGAATCAACGGAACGCTTCGACGAATGGAAAGTAATCGCGATGGAGGAAGAAATAAGTAAAAACGTAATTTTGCGGAAACCGCAAATTGCTGATGGTCGAAGCTTAATGGAAAAATACTACAAGTGTATTTCTATCAAATAAATACAGCCAGAAAAAATATATACAGCCAAAGAGAAAAAGTGTTATAGCAAAAGAGAAAATAACGTGTTTTGTCTACATTGCGTATTTGAGATATTTTGTTGACGCGCGAAAGTAATATCTGTGAATATTGGCGTTTTGTTTATGTTCGCGTCTGTTACGTAGATTAGAAGAAGAGAAAGAATAGTCAGTCGGCCTTGGACAGCTTAATGGTTAGAGCAGTTGCCCGGGAAACGGAAGATCTGGCCAATCCAAACAATCGACTTTTTTCCTTCTATACATGGATCTTGAACAATTCAATGAAAACGAGCATCCGAATCATGAATATTCAGCAAACATTAAGAGAAGAAAATTACGAATGTAAATCTAAAATATTGAATCTCTTTCAAATTCTTTCAGGCGGTGTGACAGAGATAGCATTAAGTACACAGATCGGAAAAGACAACGAAGAAGACATAAAAATAATATTTAAAGACGAATAAAAAAAGCGATAGCGTGCCGCGCCGTCTGAATAGCGCGAACATGAATAATACATCTCTAGTAAATCGTGATCGTCGATGTATATATTCGTATAATATAACGAGGCATGCAAACTCGGTAGCAGTGATGGGAAAAATTTAAACGATTCAAGTTACTTTAATGAATTATTCGAATAATTTATTCGAATAATGCGCTAGAAATATCGGTTTGTAATATTTATACTTATCTATTTCATATATAAATGATTGTAATTAAAATGATATCATGAAAATAAATTACGTGTATATAATAAACATTTCTATCTCGTTAAATTGCAATATTAATTTTGTCAAAAGTCATATTTTCAATAATCGTAAAAGAAAAAGTATAAAATTTGAATAATTCGATTGTTCTGAGGTATCTATGAATAATTTTATTCCAAATTTTAACAAATTAATTTTTCAATCAATTCTGCTAGGTAGACGGGCTCCGCCATTATATCATAGGTCGGTTCGACTCAACCATATGGCGAGAGGAGGTGAAAGCTATTGAAATTGTACAAAATGGATGTCGTAACTCGGGGGAACGATCGAATCGAGACGCCTGTCGGGATGCAACCCGGAGAGCGGTCGATGCGCTTCTCGAGACGCATCGCGGGGCATCCATTCGTAGAGGAGTAAGTTTCGTCACGAGGACAACTCGTCGAGGAATACTGGTGAAGGTGATCGATTCGACCGAGACAGAGAGAGAGAGAGAGAGAGAGAGAGAGAGAGAGAGAAGAGAGAAAAAAAAATAGTTACCTGAGAGCAGAAAAGGCAGCAGGGCCAATAGGGTCACGCTCCTCCGATGCTCGATCATAGTGCTCGTTCGGTCTGATCCTCCACTCGGGTCGACTCTGACTACTGACACTTAGTTACCGACCTCGGAACAGAGAGCTTCTCCCTTCACTTGCTCGGTATAGTTGCTCTCTGGTTACCCCACCCGTGTACCATCGGTTCTCCGATTCGATTTCTTCGTGCGGCTTCGGTGAACCGAACCGAATGGAGCCGAGCGAGCTGAGATTTTGAGATCGATGATTATTTTGGAAAAACGAAACGAGGGAAAGGAAAATGTTTTTCTTTCGTCTATCTTTGATAGAAATTTCGAAGGAAATTTTTTTTCTTTTACCTGTGCTCGATATTTTGGAGAAAAGGAAATTTTTTTTTTTTTCCATTTATCTTCAATAGAAATTTCGGAAAAAAGGAAACTTTTTTTTTTCGTCTATCTTCGATGAAAATTTCGAAGAAAGGAAAACTTTTTTTTTCGATATCTATTTTCGATGAAAATTTTGGAAAAAAGAAAATTTCTTTTTTATCCATTTTCAAAAGAAATTTCGGGAAAAAACAAAGGGAAAAGAAATTTTTTTTCTATCTTATGTATTTACTTATATAGCTATGAGATGAAAATTTTAAATGGTTGAAGAAAAAAGAAATTTTTTTTTTTTTCCTATGAAGTGAAAATTTTAAACTTACCCTTTAAGCGCGATTTAATAGTATAAAAAATGCTTGCACAAGAAGAAGAAGAAGAAGAACCAGCTTTCACGTAACCGCATTGACATTTTGGAAAATTAAAAGAGTCGATAACCTATAGTTACGCCTCGCTTAGTTGCATGACAATCATCAAGAATTATATAACGGAAAAAGAAAAAGAGAATATTTTTTCCATCGTGGATCGTAAACGAAGCGATGATATTTGTTACTCGTTAAACATCTTAAAATTGAATCCGTTGATGAAATACCTTGATAATATGCAAAACTGGTAAATAACATGTTTTGTAACATCACGTAATTTCACATTTCCCTCTTGTTAACATTTTCATGCACATTCCTTAATTAACGCAAATTTATACACGTTGGTTATTCCAGTTTAATAATTAACTTGCATCAGATAATTTCGGTATGTTGATTGCTTGGATAATCGGTATCTCGATTATAAAATAATCAATACACGGTATTTCTCGGTATAACAAGTAAATCATAATGCAATCGATCTATTCTTCGATCTATTCGTAAAAAAATTTCACGCGATATTAGACTCGTTAAAGAGTTAATGCCAAAGTGTATCCCCGACGGTTGTATTTACGCGTCACAACATGCATTTACGCCATTAGTCATTAATTACTCCATTAATCGATTCAATGGTTACAAAATCGTGAAACTATCCACACGTATTTCTTAAAGCAAACTTTTCACACGACAAAGAAATAAAGATTTTCTAAATCTAATCCAACCAAACAACGCGCATATCATATATATATCCTTTCAATCTTTCAACCTATTCATAAATCTTTTCTTTCGTTTGTACAATCGCTGAAAGCGTCGTTATCCGCGTCAGTCAACCATTTAAAAACACCTCAGAGATGTACAATACGTGTATACATATATATATATACGAACGTACTGTACATACGAACACGATTTGTCCAATGCACAAGCGGATACATACGGTTATCCCTCGAGGCTTTGGCGTTACGCAACGATCATACTTGGAGCAATGGCTCCCGTTCTTCGATGGAATCAGATCTGCTCCAGCATGGATAGTGAAAGCCGACGAGAATACCGCTCGTGATCCACGTTATGAACCGGTCCGATAAACGAAAACGAATACGTCACGGTCACGTGACGTCTGATCGATGGCCAATCAAGCGGTTTCTGTCCAATACGTACGGGACGTACGTATGTATGTATCTTCGACGTTTTCCCTCGCAGAAACTCGACGGTTCTTCTTCGTTAACTAGTGGATCGATCTCGTTTGAGCAATATAATAAATTCGCTCATCGTTCATCCTTCTTGACGCGTGTACTCAAGAGTAAGTAATAAATGTATTACGTAATGGAAGGGAATAATTTGAGAGTGATTCTTGAAATAAATAGAGTACGAAGAACACGGAGATTTCACAATTTTTCAACGGCGAAATAGGCTCGAAGGAGGGAATTGTTTCATCGGGCACATCGTAAAATTACGTAAAGAGAAAGGTTGCAATCAGAGGTTGAATTAAGCGAAATTGTTGAATTATTATAAGCGCTTTGTATTGTATTCAAACGGGATCAATTTTTTTTTTTTGTTTCGTGATTATTCAATGTCTTTGTATGTGCAATCAATCCGTCTGAAAAGAGAAACTGAATTATATATCTGGTAATAATTGAGCGAAACAATTTTTCGTTCTTCGTAAGGTTAAAAAAGATCACTTTTGAATTACATTCGATGTGATAATTGTCTTCAGAGGAAAAACACGAAAATATATGTTTTTCTATGGCAAATTTTTAACTCGTGGTTATTGATATTTCTATCAGAACAAGCCGCAACGAAGTTGTCAGACGCAATAAATTTCTGTAACGTAGTGTCCGTTTACATAAGGAGAAAGGTATAATTATCGTGGGAGGTGTATGCAAAGGCCATTCATTTACGTAAGTATATCACGGGTTTATTGTTCCTAAATGTAAAAAAAAAAAAAAAAAAAATTAAGCGTTACAGACGTATCGCTGAGTAACTGGCACCTTGTCTTTAATTAGTTTTTGCTCTTGTAGTAATCCTCGCTGGAACAAGAAAGAAAAGACGACGAAAATCAAAATTTTTGTCTGAATTTAATAAATGTATAATTTGCATTAACACGAGAAAAGGTTAAAACGTTTTTTTCGTCCTCCATTATAAATTTTAGGAATACATTCCTGGCAAAAAATTTTCGACCACCTCTCTTAACATAGAATATTTATATAATAGAACTATTTTAAAATTAATTCAAACTTTTAGAAGGATCGGTTTACTAGACGACATGTAAAAAAATTTTTGGATAAAACTTGACGAAAAGTTTTTGAACAATACTCTTGTAAATTTATCATTTACATTCACGTGCATCGACAATTTCATCAAAATTGAAAAACAAACGATCCCAACGATCGAAACGATAATGTAAAAATCATAAATTTCAAAGAATAACTTTTTGTTAGGAACTATATATAAAAAGAGATTATATATCAAAATTTATGTAAACATTTTTACATAAAATTCAAAGGATGATCGGATATTTTTTTGCCAAAGATTGTGCTAAAATATACGATGTAGATCAGAGACAAGGAGCAGAAATATCGTCAAAAGTCAGATAAGAAACCTATAAATTTAAAAAAAAAAATTTAGATATATAATAAAATACATGGAAATCTGCATGGAGAAGAGAAACAAGCGTCCATCGTATCGTAAAAATCGCATAGATTTTTTTCAAAACAATCTTACCGCCATTCGTTTTCCTTTACTTTCCATTTAAAAAAAAAAAAAATACTTACCATCCAGGAACGCTTTCAGGATCCATACATTTAAAGCTGTCCTCGCTGTAAACGGTGCCAGGCTCGCACTGCCCTTTCTGCGGCACCACGCCATTCTTGCAGATGTAGAATTTGGCGCAGTCGTCCGGATGGGGATAAGTCGGATGGGGTAGAATCCTGCCCAGAGGGCCGGGCACGTCCCCGTCAGGGCATACGAAACCGTCGTCGAGAACGTCCCTCTTCACGTTCTCGCACAATCTACTTGCGTCAGCTGGCCACACGCAACTCGACATTTTGTCCTCGTAAATGAGGCCGGGTGGGCAGGGCATTGTCTGGGCAACGCCGTCGATGCAGTTCACGAAACGATCGCACGCGGTTGGGTCCTCGTGCTTGAAGTAGCCGTTCGCGCGGGGGCATCCTTTGCTCGGTTGTGGCTCCTCTGTCGATAATTAGATCCATTTAATCATCTTCCCACCTCAATAATATGTATTGTAAATTAATTGTATATATTAAATTGTGTTCGTGCAACGAGAAGATGAAGATTTTATTGAAATATAATAATAATATGAATATATATTAATATATATATATATATAATATATAATAATAAAATGAAATATATTATATAATAAATGAATATTATTATTATATTATATAAAATTATTATATAATAAAATTATAATTTTTTTTTTTTAGAACAGATCTCATCGAAGAAGAGATAAAAGTAAAATTGTGAAATTTAATCAAATTTACATTCAAAAAAAAAAAGAAAGAAGAAAAGTAAAGATCCTCCTTTGTATTCTTTGTATTCCGTAGAAAAATTAGCATGTAAATTTATTCGAGCGATAAAAAGCGGGGGAAAAAAGAGAAAAAGATTGAAAGAGGATAAGATAAAGCGAAGGAAGATTAATAAAATCCGAAAAGCGATTTAATTTCGCGACGGAACCGGTTCGATATAATTTAATCGCATCGTTCGCGATTTATCTTCTCCAACTAAAATCTAATTTTCATTCTTCGAATTATTCGCACGGATTACGCGCGGTCGAATTCCATTTTCAGATCGCATCGTTCCTTTTTTCGACATGGAAAAGGACGGATACGATACGAAAATTTTCGCCTGTTCCGCGATTCGATTCACGTCCGTGTTCGGAATTTCTCGAAAAAACAGACGTAGGACAATGTGACCGGAATATTCTCGCCGTACACGTAACTTTCACCATCGGTCTTGGCATAAGCTCCAAGGTATCGAAGGTACTCTCCGGGTTCTCCAACGATATTCTAGATATGCTTCTTCTTCGAAAAAAATAAACGAACACTTGTCGTTGCATCGCACTTCACCTCCTTCTTATACTCTTCAAATCGCTACGAAATTAAAATCTTTCTTTAAATCGCTCGAGTAATTGAGAAAAAAAATTGGAAAAATTCGAGGGAAAGGAAAAAAATATCGTTTTGACGATTGCAAAACTCACGAAGCAAAGTTCTGTCTCCGCAAGGCACGTTGGCAGGGATGTCGCATAGCTCCTTCTTAGGATTGTCGTCCCTGAAGACGAGTCCATCCTTGCAGAGCTTCTCTTCCGCTTTTCCGTCCACGCAGGCGAAGTAGAGGTCGCACTGTTCCGGATCAGGGAAGAAGCCTTTCGGCTCGGGACACCGAAACTGCGCCCTGCCCAAGGTCACGCAAGTGATCAACAAAATCGAGGAGAAAACGGCTCGAGCCAACATGGTCAATTTCTTTTTCTTCTTTTCTTCCTTTTCCTTCCTTCTTTCCTTGCTTTCTCTCGATCCTTTGATCTATAAACACCAGGAGACACTCCTCCTCTTCTTCTTCTTCTTCTTCTTCCTCTTCTTCCTCTTCTTTCTTCTCTCACGATCCGTCTACGGCACGCAGCAACGTGGGTATGAAGAGTGAGCGCAGGCCTGAAACTGGTCCTGATTCGCCACACCACCTCTGCATCCTTGCTTGCATTTCACAACCCCCACCCCCCTTTCGCCGAAACTCCTTTCTCGCTTGCTCTACTACTTGCTTTTCTTCCACGCCAGTGCCCGATATATCCACGTTTCCTCGACCAAACGTTACAACTTTGTCCGCTTGCTTTCAGTTTCCCGCCTCTCTTCTTATCTCTCCGCCTAGTAAACAAGTATCACTGGATATAAATATATATATATGTATGTATATGTATGTATATATACGTATATGTATGTATATGTATGTATATATACGTATATGTATCTATATGTATGTATAAATATATATATATATATATGTATGTATAAATATGTATATGTAGGTATAAATATATATTTATGTATGTATAAATATGTATATGTATGTATAAATATATATATGTATGTATAAATATATATATGTATGTATAAATATGTATATGTATGTATAAATATATATATGTATGTATAAATATGTATAAATATGTATATGTATGTATATGTACGTATATCTGGTTGTTCGCTTTTTCCGGGTGTGCCCCACCTTCTATTTGTTATGAATACGTGATATATTTCAGGATCGATTCAGCCGATCGATTTTGGTTTGATTCAGGATTCAGAAGAATCGAAGGGGATGTGTATCTCTGCAAAGCGATGAAATTGTATCAATCTATTGTGTTGAGCTGTTGTATGTTGTAGAGAGTAAAGAGTAATTGGTTATTCGTTATTTTGGATTAAAATTTTGTGTGAAAATTAAAAAGGAAACATTTTAAAATGTTTGGAGATAAAATTAGAAGAAAATATAGAAAGTTTTTTGAACACGAGTTAGATAAATGATTTTAAAAATAAAGCAAGATATATAGATTAAAACGACGTATCTCTATCGTTTGCCAACTGACGAGTGTTTCGAAATCTATTGACAAAAACGATTAATTTATTTATAATAGTATCGAAACAAACGTGACAGAAGACTTGTTTATTAGTTGTTTATTAGAGAGATTTAATTTTGCAATAGATAAAACTATAACTGAAACGAAAGAAATAAAATGAATGTTGCGTACTTATAATTATATATATATATATATATATATATATATATATTTATCCAAAAACAAAGGCCATAAGGCTATAAAGTTTAACGATTTGAAAAAAATATTAAAACAGGAATAATAATACAGACGTAACGTTCATTCATTATTTCTTAACAGGTTTACGAAAGTAACGATTGAAGAATGATCACCAAATCTCTTTTCAATCAATCGAGAATGTAGGATTTCATGCGCGTTTGTGAAATTATATTTGCGCAACACTTCGAAAGTGTCCATGAACGTTAATATCGTTATTTCTGTGCACACGTTCTCTTCCGGATTCTTTGAATATTTCCATATTATCTTTCCCCGACACGACCACTGTTTATAACTTTGCTTTGGTTTTTCTCTGCAATTGAAAAAATAGTTGTTATAATATAGGTAATGAGTAATAAAATGTACGAAGGCTCATGCCTGTGGCGCCTATACGCCATTATGAAACGTAAAGAAAAGAACGTTAGACGATTTGAATAAAAATACCATTTTACTTTCTTCTTTCATCGAGCGATCGCTTTTTAAAAACAGTATCCCGTGACTAATGGCTCGAGAAAGCAGAACAATTTCAATTCACGTTGTAAAGTTAGCCAGAGTCACGACATGTCGGTCTACCGTTTGTGATTTATCGCGAATACGAGATGATATATGTCAGAGATGGTAGAAAGGACGTTAGAAATGGCGGATAATGCAAGAATGATTTAGATAAATATTATGAACCGTTAATTTTTTTCTTCTTTTTTAATTTTTTTTGTGTAATAAAAATCTTTATTGGTAAATAAATATTTTTGAAGAAGGAAAGTATTAAAAGAAAATTACTATTAGTTGAAAGAATAGTAAATAGCAAAATTGTATGATTATAATATATGATTCGATGTAATGTAATTTATGATATTTGTAATGTCAAAGGTCGATATTTTGAATACCTCTTTTGTTCGGATAAATGTGGATAATATTTCTAAAAATTATGCAACAATCTTTTATTTGTAATCCTTTTTTAAAAATTTTTTAATTAAATTGTATGTATATAATAATTAATAATTTATATTTATCAATTAAAGTAATTAATCAGATATATTTGTAATAAATTTTTTTAAATATTATTTTCCTATTCAAATATTGCGAAAAATCTAATATTATCTCTCATTTCTTGAATCAATTTTTAATTCTTAAAAGCTCAAATTAAAACTTGTACTCTAAAGAAAACGTGAGTTTAATTTTATAAGAAACTTTTAAAAATTATACTGATTATACAATGAATATAGAAATACTATAGCCATCTAGTAGTAAACAGGTAGAACTAATCATCTGCTGATATTAATTTTTTGACATCAACGCGCCATCTATTGATGAACAAATAGAATTAACCATTCGCTGATAGTAATTTTAAGCATCGATGCACGACAATAGGTGAAACTAATCGTTACAGAAGAAAATTAAAAAATAAAAATTTTTCAATATATAAATTTAATTCTTTAATTTTTAAAGATTTAAAAATTCTGAATTTTAATTTGATAAAAATATAGCTTACAATAATATAGTTAAGAAATTTTAATTTTTCGATTTTGGTATTTGGCAATTAGTTCTACTTATTCACTGCTAGATGGCTATATTGTTTCAAATATCCGATAATTTTACACATTTTTGAAATGTAATAAGAAAAAATATTTAAAGAATTAGTTAATATTTCGTATAATTTATTTATAATTTTCACAAAAAAATTTAATTTTAATTTATGATTGAATAACACTAAGGTAGTAATACCATTTTAGAGATTCGACAAAAAAATGCATTTGATGATAGATCTATATCTTTTGCCTTGTTTGTGATATAAATATTTTTTATGATCTAATTAAAAAAGTAACAAATAACATATTTAATAGAAAAATGGAAGTTCTTGAATTAAAAGATGTAAAACCAGTACCTGATATTATTCATCTTTATCCAAATAGAGTAAAATCCGAAGCAACACCGCTTGTAATTGATAATGGTAAGCACACTGTAATATATTATATAATATAAAATAAGTATAATACTAATTTATAAATAATAATTTTTAGGATCGTACAATTGTAGAGTTGGTTGGGCTACTGAGAAAGAACCTCAATTAGTATTTAAAAATCTTATCGCTAAACCACGCAAAGAACGTGGTAAAAAGGATGGTGAACCTCAGGTTGGAAATGATATAACTAATATTGAAGCTGTTAGATTTCAATTAAAAACACAATTTGATCGAAATGTGGTTACACATTTTGAAGCTCAAGAACAGATATTTGATTATACTTTTACTCATATGGGAATAGATACGGAAGGTGCAGTGAATCATCCTATAATTTTAACAGAAGCATTTCTTAATCCTAATTATTCAAGAAATTGTAAGTACATAAATATATAAAAAAAATCTGATCTAAGTTTAAAATTTAAATTTTATAATCTTGATTTTAGTGATGGCGGAACTTTTATTTGAATGTTATAATGTACCTGCAATAGCTTATGGAGTGGATTGCTTATTTTCTTATCAACATAATAATTGTCCGTCTGATGGTTTAATAATTAGTATTGGATATCATACTACACATATAATACCTATATTAGATGGTAAAGCAGACCCTGTAAATTCAAGAAGAATCAATGTTGGTGGATATCACATTACATCTTATATGCATAGATTGCTTCAACTTAAATATCCTGTTCATGTTAATGCTATAACACCTAGTCGAGCAGAGGTACAGAAATGATTTATATCTCAATGTAAAAAATTTTTGACTTTATTTTCTTCAAATAGGAGTTAATACATGAACATTCAATGATAGCTTTAAACTATCAAGAAGAAACGTCTAAGTGGGCAGATCCAGATTATTATGATATGAACGTATTAAGAGTACAGTTACCCTATGTTGCTCCTGCAAATGCACCTGGTTTAACAGTTGAACAGCAAAAAGAAAGAAAACGGGAATTAGCTAGAAGATTAATGGAAATCAATGCTAGAAAAAGAGAAGAAAGAGTTTGTAATTTTTATTAATTTATTCATATAAATTTATTTCAATAATTAAGAAAAATATATTTTTAGTTAGCAGAAGATGAAGAACAATTAAATCAATTATTAGCCGTTCAAGATTTATTAGAAGAAGGTGAAACAGATGAATTCGATCAAGCATTAAAAACTTATTCTCTCGCAAACGAAGCAGATTTAATAAAAATGATTAATAATTTGCAAGCAAAAGTGGAAAGAACTAGGCAAAAAATAGTAGCGGCTAATTCACAGGAGGAAAACATCGCAATGGAAGAACAAAAACCAAAAATAAAATCGAGTCTACAACCTAAAGATCAACAAGATTTTGACGAATGGATCGCTAGTGTACGAAAGAAAAGGTACGAAGCAAACTAATTTTTTTATCATCTTAACGATGTTAAATGTTTTTCTTTATAGGCAAGAAATATTAGAAAGACGAATGGCTAAAAGACAACGTAGACAAGATATGGCAAAACGTAGAACAGCAGCCGCACAGGAAAGAATGCGCATAATAAGTCAATTAGCAAGAAAAGAAAAACGCGATGATGATTTTGGTATGAGAGACGAAGATTGGGATGTTTATAAAGTTATAAATAGGGTTCGTACAGATTTTTAAAATATTTTTTCTTTCACTTTTAAATATATTTCGAAATTATGTTTCTTAATTTTTATATTTTTTACACAGGAAGGTGGAGACTCGGATTCAGAAGTAGAACAAGAAAAACTTATGGAATTGGAAGATGTGTTACGACATCATGATCCAGAATTTGACGGTGCTGGATCTAATGTCCCTATGGTTCCGGGAGAAACTCATCAATTACATGTGGGAGTGGAACGTTTGAGAGCACCAGAAATATTATTTCAACCATCTATGATAGGTTCCGTAGAAGCAGGCATTGCAGAAACAATCGAATTCGTTTTGAAGCTTTATCCATCCGAACAGCAATCGCGACTCGTAGGAAATATATTTCTTACTGGAGGTCCAACGAAATTTCCTGGTTTACTTGAAAGATTGAATCGAGAACTTCGTGAAATGCGACCATTTGGATCAAATTTTCAAATAAATATCGCAAAAAATACCAGCATAGACGCATGGTATGGCGCAAGGGATTTTGGTCTAAATGGAAATCTTCCTGAATTTTTAGTAAGCAAAAAAGAATACGAAGAAAAAGGTGGTGAATATTTTAAGGAACATTCGACCAGTAATACTTACACTCGATCTCCTGATCCTTTACCTACGGTACAGACTCCTGTAACATCAGAGCAAGTGATAGTAGAAGATGCTGTTGTAGACGTTGAAATGGAATAAAAAAAAAAAAAAACAGTTTTATATTAATTATTATAGAATAAAATTTATTTAAACGTAAGATTCGTGGTCGATCGTTTTTTCTTTCTTTTCTTTTTGGAAAGTGAGAAGAATAAAGAATACGATGTTTTTTTGTTGTATGGATATCTACTTTATTACACAAGTGTTTCCGTTTGTTCATTCAATCACGAACAAACTACATTGTAGTCTGTTTGCTGATCACAATGTACAGTTCCAATCAATCATCGCCATTTCATCGTCATTCAATATAATTATGCGGGTACATTCTGGCTTTTTTTTTTTTTTATTTATCGAGAATAATCGACATTCGCTTATTTCTTAGCGTTCGTCGAATAAGCTAAAAAATTGAGAAAGTGATCCGTCATCTCAGCAATAGGATTTACTACAGCGACCTCGAAAAATTCTCCGACATCTTTATTCATAGCTTAAGTTAACATCACAATACAATTATTATATATATATATATATTGAAAAAATATTACGAAGCCCTATAGGCAATTATATTACAGCTAATTATAAGTGATTCTTTTGTGTTTCTAATAAAGGAACATACCGTATGTAAACTTATGTTCGTTTCGAACTTTTCACACGTTAGACACAAGTTAACATAAGTTAACATAAGAAAAGGAGAAACGATTGGATTAGTTTTTTCTTAACTCAAAAAAAAAAAAAAAAAAAAAATCATGATCACAAACGCACAGCGTTTGTTACATGTATACATATGTTTAAAGCACTCAATGATACATTTGTTACATTTTTATTTTTACGTACTCTGTGGCTACACTTTCGTCTCTTATCACATACAATTATAGATAAATTTCAAAGTATATCTTATTGTATAACGTATAAATAAATAATATTTTGTTTGAATTTTTGTTAAGAGAACGCAACGAATCAGTGAATTTTTTTAAGGCAAAATTTTATGTTAAAAATAATATATATTGTACTATATTTAGCATAAAATATTACAAAAATGGAATTTATAAAAAATGACTTGACTATTATCGATTGAAACTGCACGCAGCATTTTATCAAATTATCCGTTTTTTTTTCTCTTTTCCTGTTTCTTTTTCTCGCAATTAACAATATCTTTGTGTTTATAATGAGCTCGATTCTAGGCACAAAGGAGTCTTCCTACAACAAAAGTCCAATCGCAACGTGTACAAACATATTTCGACCCATCGAAACTATAACTGATCGATGTTCTCTATGTATTTCACATAATACACCGGATACTTAATTTAAATAATATCCTTTGTAACTATCACAGGCTGAGGTCGCTGCAGTTTTATTAACAATACTTGTTACTTAATAAAAATAATAATTAATAATGAAAAGCATTTTGATCCGATTGGTGAATTCTTCAATATGTCTAATAAATAGTGGAAGAATAGAAAAAAAGTGCACGAAGAATGTGACATAATAATTTTCTCATTTTTCATTTTTCTTCGTTTTCTCGGTTTTCATACTTTCTTCGTCGTTCAATGGTAGTATCAATAAAAGTGAGGTAGAATTCCAATCTGTGAAGAAAGTGAAAATACAATTTTTCTATCTTCCTTAGCTAAGAGTGAGGATCTACTTTCGCAAATGATAATATCGTACGCTAATTAAAATTACACGCGGCCTTGACATATTCTTATCGCGATAATCATATAAAGTAGCGATGATAATAATAATAATAATAAGAATAATAATAATAATAATAATAATATTAATATTAATAATAATTACAATTGTTTACGATAAAATAATTATAATAATAATAATAATAATAATAATAAAGACAATAATATTTCAAAATAATCATTAGTACAACAATGATTAATGTTTTGCAATATAATGGCTTTATGTATTTATATATATATAGAGATTTATTTATATATTTATATATTTATATAGTTGCATGGTGGGGCAGAGGGTAAGTGACAGCTATGTACAGTACATACTTGCCTTAGTTGTACCATCGTTACGTTTATACGTATTTATATTCTCGATAATCATAATCGTAATGATACGATAATAATCAAGAACCGTAATAAACAATAATAATCTGTGACAATCAATAATAATAATTAATAATAATAATGATATTATCGTCATTTTTATTCATAAAATACCCTATACTCTCGTGTAGTAATCGTGTGGTGGTATCATAATAAGAACTAGTATGCAGTATGTACGTAAAGAGGATGTGTTCAACCAGGATATGTCGGTGAAAACTATGGTGTATCAAGCGTCAACTCTTTTTTCTTCTTTATATTTATATTATCTAATATATGTGATATATATATCATATATATATATCATTCACTATCATTTATCGCTTTATTTCGTTTTTATTTCTCAAAACTACTATTACAAAAGTGCGTACTCTCGTCTTATATTTTATAGGTACATACATGTATCGGCGTAACCTATCTACTTGTTCATTGTCCTTTATATTAGATGTAGCTTTAATATTATTCTCTTCGATTAGACAAGATGCGGCAAAAGTAGTGGTGCTACTAGAAATTAAATCATATTCTCTGTGTAAAAATAAACAATATCATGGAACAAATTTGTGTTTCGTGTTACGAACTTTACATAATTCGAAGAAATCATAATATCATAAAATATATGCCTTTTTTAATAAATAATCGATTTCTTTCGAATATCAAAATATTTTTTTGATATTCAATTGTTTCGTCATTCATTTAAAATCTTGATTATTCGAATTTTCAAATTTCAATAAAAATTTTAACACTTTTAATAAAAACATAACCTTATACTTATACAAAAAAATTTATTTATCTATATTTTTCATGCACTTTTACAATGTTTTACAATACATATTTTATTTCTTGAAAATTAATTATATGCATATTTTACAATATTGAAAGTTCATTTCCTTGATAAAACTTTGGACCGAAGAAAACTTGCTCCATGACACAGTCGACCTACTTTTTGACAGAAAAATAATTCTGCAACCGGTTGCAGCACAATTTTCGCCGCAGCCTGCGTGCTTTCCTTAAATGGAGCACTACAATAATCCTTTTATTTAATATTTCACGCACACTCATACGCACACAAATTTTTCAAATATGCAAATTCACTCGTACACATACATACATACACACGCGCGTATTTTTGTTATATATAATATACATATATATGACATGGTACTTTCTACGCATCGACGGTATGTATATAGGTATATCTTATCTTTATCATCGTGTCGCATCAAAATCTTTTGTTCCTCTGATGAATCGATTTCATCTAATTACTTTTTTTGTTATTAATTTCCTGCTTTCTCCTTTCTTCTCTTTAATTCATTTTCTTTCTCTTCGAATCGTACAATCTTGTTTTCTCTTTTCTTTTTTTCTTGTCGAGGACAACGCGAAACGACACACCGCGAGAATCCAATAAATAATCCCCATTTTTTTCTCTTCTTCCTCTTTTTTTTTTTTTTTTTGTTTCTAAAAAAAGTTCATTGACACGCAATTCAGAACTTGCTTTTTATTTCTTGATCTCTCCTTAATCAAAGCTTTTTAGGCACCGTTCAAGACTCGACCTGAGGAAAAATATCAGCAATAAAAAATCTTACGTCTGTATATAGTACTTACGCTCTAACGAGCCAATCAATCTTTCCCCCTTTTTTTTTTCTCTTTACTTTTCTTTGTTTTTTTTTTTTTTTTTTTTTTCTTTGATTTAATAAATCCCCAGGTTTATTGTAGACCATACAAGTATTGATTTTGACCATTGTACGTGTACATGCGTTCTGTATAGCTTTTATAATGTTTATGATAAATCGAATTTCGATTGCTTCTATTGATTAAAAATCATTATTCAAACAAAAAAACAATGGAATAATTCCAATAAAATTGGGGAAGACGTTAGAAACGGAGATCTCTGAAATATCGCAAGGCGAAACGCGCGAGAAGTTAGTTCAAGATAGCAAACTCGTTTATAAAAATATCGATACGCTTCGAACGAAATATCGTTTGCAATACTGCTCGACAAGAGAGGTTAACTTCTCTTCGAAGTTTTTCGCGCGTATCGCATATTCGCGATTTTCTTTGACTCGATAGCTCTATTAATTATTAATTTAATTATTTATACAATGGCATCAAGGTATGTATTCTATATTAGCTTTAATGTGATTTGATCTTGTTTGATTAGAAAATTGTACCACTTGTTCGTGACAAGTCTCTTGAAACGATCTTTACTTTCCAATTTGAAAAAAAAAAAAAACAATATCGAGACAATGAATTAATCTTTTGCGAAGAATATACTTTTAAAAATGAAAAGATAATATTATAAAAAAAATATTGAAAACATATTTTGTCAATATATATATATATATATATATATATACACGGTCTCATTATGTTTTTTTCTGTTTTTATTTTAAAATATCTCAAAATTACCACGCGTCAAGAGGCTCGTTCGGAAATTCATCCGAGGTTAATTTCACGAAAAGCAGGAATTAGCGGAAGAAATATTGCGTGTTACTTTCTACGTTGTACCGCCTCTACGATAATCGATCATTTAACGGGTAAAAAAATGAATATTCGAGATCGGCAAAATTATCGTCGATGCGGTAAAAATCGCTTTATGTCTCACATAAGAAAGAAATATCTCTATTATTTATTCCTTTCTTTTATTGCTCTGTATTTTCCCCATTTTCTAAAATATATGCATCGAGCTAACAAAGTTTATCCTAATGAAGATTTCGTGGCGTTAAAATACGGATTGCTTGTGCTTGTTCCTGTCGACGATGTTCCTCTAAAGAAGCATTGCTCTGGATGTTTGGTTGCACGTTACGTATAAATCTCGTAATAAAAGAAGAAACGTGTGTATGTGTGTATGTGTGTGTGTGTATGTGTATGTGAACGTGTCGTACGAATGTCGAAAATAAAAGCCAGTACTAGAAGTGCGTGTCCTTTTTTTTTCTTTTTTTTTAAATCTTTTTCTTAATTCATCGAAAATCCATCAAGTGACTTTTGTCCATAATAAAATTTTATTATCTCGTGGAATCCGCGGCTCCGCTATGAAAAATCCTACGCTATTTTTCGCAGGCCTCTATAAGACTTACTGGTAGCACGGTAAACCTCTATAAAAATAATAGCTATCCTACGTAAACGTATTACAAAAATAAATGGCATTGTACTCTGCTAAAGAAGCAAAATGGTACAGGCGCAATGTCGAGCGACGCGAGCATCGTTTTTTTTAATCGTATTTTTTTTTTTTT